ATCTACAAATGAAACACCATAACAAAACTTCGTTTTTTTAAATAGAACATCTCTTGTAATTGGAGCCCCCCCCCCCCCCCCCAAAAAAAAAAAACAAACAAAAAGAAAATAAAAAAAATTCTGTACCAAAGTACCTTGTAATGATCTGTAAATTGTTTCTGAACAGAGAAAAAGCCGAACAAACGATTTGGAACAGATTACAACAACTTACAACCATGAAGAAAAAACGATTAACAACTAACACACCAATGAAGATCGGCGTTTTAGGTACCATTTTACAGACGTGTGTCTCTCGTAGAGATTACAACAAGATCCTAATGAGTGTGTTTGTCCAGGCTGCATGGCAGAGAGGCTGAAGACCAAGCTTTTGGAAAGGGAGAAGCTGGTAGATGTTCTTGCTGGTCCAGATGCTTACCGGGACCTTCCTCGCCTTTTAACCATAGCTGACGAAGGCCAACAAGCCAGCAACGTCCTGCTGTCTCTAGAGGAGACCTATGCCGACGTCATGCCTGTTCACCGAGCTCCGCAGGGTCACAGTGCCTTTGTGTAGGTTGTTGGTGCTGCGAGCAGGACTTCTGGCAGCTGCACGTTTCTGACAGCGTGTGTTTGTGTTGTGTGTGCAGTTCCATCATGCGTGGCTGTGACAACATGTGCAGTTATTGCATCGTTCCTTTCACCAGAGGCAGAGAGAGGAGTCGACCCATCAGCTCCATACTCGAGGAAGTCCGTATGCTCTCTGACCAGGTGAGTCATCATCACACACCTGGCTCTCCACACTCTCTGCTCCTTGATGTTAAAGTAAATGGCAAACATCTGTATCCCTGCTGAAATTTATCATAAATGTGAAAACTTTAATTTGACCATTTTCTGAACAGATAGGGCATAGGTAGGATTTTTCTGACAGTTATGTTTGATTTGAGCTATTCTGGCTGTATGTTGTCATCTGTCCAGTAGGTGTTTGTTTATTTATTTATTTTTGCTAAAATAGTTTTGGTAGGAAGATAAAAAACATGTTCCATACGTGAAGCAATCAAATTGATTATTTTCTCCCTCAGTGGTTGGATTAAATGAACCGTCCACCATTTTTAATTGCTGATTGGCTGAGGGGAGGGGGGAGCAGCGTGACAAGGAAAGGAGAAGAGAGAAAAGGAGGAGAGAAGGAGAAGCAGGGCAGAAAAAAAAGCGAACAGAGACAGACGTTAAGGAATAAAGACTAAACTTGTCCCAAGTTTTAGTTCAGAGTTAATGAGTGGCTGAGGTGACTTTGTATAGCTGCAGTACTGAACGCAGCCGGACTTCACAAAGCCGTAGCTCACAGCAGCAGTTGCAGTGAGACTGCTGTGCAGCGACAACACACCGGTGTGGGAGTGAGACGCCGGAAAAACCAGAGGAGCGTCTCAGGCGACTGGGGAAGCCTGACAGGATTTCTGGCGCTGAGGCAGACCGGAACGTGTCGTACTGACCGTCTGTGCTGAGGTTGCTGGATTCGTACCACGTAACATCACGAGGTGACACATACAGACACAGAAAATACTCCGAGGTTGAGTGAGTACTCGCATCTTTTCCATGACTCATTGGAAGTAACGAGTTACACTGTAGGTGGCCCCACCGCTCCCAAGCGTCATCCAGGCCTGCAACGTGTGGGTTAATCTACATATACTTCATCATTTTTGAACAGATAAACAGCGCCGCATTTTATTTGGGCATTTTCATTTAATTGCACCAGCTGGTGTATGTTCAAAAGTGGATCCACAAGTTAATGTGTCCTTACAACTGCACTGTAAAAAAAACGATGGTTTAAATTGAAGAAGAAAAATTGAGACGTGTACAAATTTGATTTATTTAAAGGGTAGATGTGCTTGTAAAATTAAATTTGTGTTTAATTGACACATTTTTTGTCTAGAGAAACTAAGCTTAACTGATCTCTCACAAATTTTATTTTATTTTTGTGTTAAAATTAGCTTATTTATATATATATATATATATATATATATATATATATATATTATAATAATAATAATAATAATAATAATAATAATGTCATCACAATGTCAGCACTGTATGTTTCCATACAATGGCGAAATTAGTCTCTGCATTTAACCCATCCACCACCAGGTGGTGCAGTGGGCAGCTATTGAAAGCGCCCGGGGGACATTTTGGGGATTAGACGTGCTGCCCAGAGACGCCACGTGATGTGCC